ATATATATATATATATATATATATATATATAAGGGATGCACCGATACCATTTTTCTAAGTACTGGTACTTGTCCAAGTATTCACAGATAAAAGTACTGATACATTTTTGTTTATTGTCATGTGACAGTTTTTCTAAAAACAATACAGACTAATGATTTCAGGACAGTGGTGGAGCGCCAGAGCCAGGTCCCAGCTGCAATCCCTGGTAGTTCCCTGAACTGGTATCTGGAAATCAATAAATGCACGGCTGCATTCATTTGTATTTATCTGTCCGGACTTTTTATGTAATGCTTCCAGAACCATCACGAATCTGCTGCTGATGGATTTTAATTGGCTATATTTTTTTGTGGCTTATAGTCTTTTTATTAATTTATTTTTTAGACGGTCCATATTGTACATCAGCTGTCTGATTTTGGAGGTTCCTGCTCTTCAATAGATTTGATGTGAATTTCTAGCTTGAGTATATATTGTGCACAATGCACAGACCAGGTTTTTGCTGCAGCTCTAACAATCCCAGATTTCACATTTCTCAGATATCTAAAGTTAGTGTTTTTCCTGCTATTTCTGACTGTTTTGTGCACATTACAAACACTCATTAATTGGGACCAACTGTGACATACTAACAAGTGCCTGCAAAGTCGTCTTCTTTTTTTTTCTTCTATAAATAATTCCCCGTCTCCATAGTGGCACACAGCACCTCATTTTGCATAATTAGAAAGCATAATTATGTTCATAACAATTTCATGATTTGATAATCTTATCTCATCCATCCAGAGCACAGCATATGTTCCGTCAAGCCATGCGCTCGCCCATGATTTGGTTCCATGTGGTGCCTGCCGTTAACAAAGAACCGTATGAACAACTATCCCAAAGCGAGAACAACAGCTACTACTCCAACCAACATGCCTCTGACCACCAGTTCATGGACAACAGGAACTTTCACAGCCCCGGTCCTGAGCAGACACTGCAGAGAGCTCCCCGACAGGGAGCCCAGATAGAGCCAATGGACTCTTTCTCAAATCTACCTCACAGTATCAATTCAGCAGGAAAACCACCAACTGGCCTCACCCCTTCACCGCAGCGTGGCGCTAACTACCCTCCAGCCAGCGGTTACAGTACCAAAAAAGGAAAGAAGCTATACATCCAGCTCAAGAAAGGTAAGAGCCATTGCCATCTGGTGACCTGGGAGCTTGGCAGTTCTTTCACATTTTTATAGTTGTTTATAAAGATTTAAATTTTCTCATTCACATTTTTAACCCTTGACTTAACCCCACGTCAGTGCTAATGTAACACCAATAGTAAAGTGGCAGAGTAATGGACCTTGACAAAATCAGAAAATTGTTTCCCTACCTTGCTAATACTGCAATTTGTTCTTTATGCAAAGAAAAAATAACTCAGAAAATAGGTTGCAGGTAATCTAAAGCCTAATTTCAGCCATTTTTAAAAAAATCATATAAATCTTAAAGTTTTTCACAACCAATAATGGTGCAATGTATATACGATAAATAGCAACCGCATATATGACATAATGCATTGAGGAGATGCCAGCAATAACTAATACAAAGACCACTGACAGTACAGAACCGGGGATGACAGTAGATCCGGCATTTATACATGGATAAAACACATGCATAGTTCTCCTCAGGGTCACGGGAGGACATAAACCAGCGTCCTCCCGTGACCCAAAGCTCAGTATATCGCGAGCTACTGCATGCGGTATACTGAGACCGCTGCAGCCGGGACAGATCCCGACATTACTGTCGCGATCCACCCCAGCTGTGTGATTGACAGCTGCCTCTGCCTATCTAGAGGCAGAGCCAGCTATACCCGCCCCCACAACCGTTCATTCCTCCAGTCAGTGCTGTGAGTGACAGTCACGGCTCTCTGCAGGGACAGGATCGAGAAGTGAGCGGCATGTGTTCGGGAAGTGACTGTTTCATAGTCGCACTTTGGCTCGAACTATGAGGATCAGTGATTTTCACTCACCTCATAGTTCTCCTTTAATGAATTTTTCTGCAGATCTAGTTTAAATTCTGTTTTGTCCCACTTATGAATGACACACTCCGGCCACACAGTATAGCCAGAGGGTGACACCATTGCATTCTTTTTTGCTTGGTTTCCCCTTGCCATCTCCAGCCTGCTCATTGTCCTGTCATTGAGTTTTCACTCACTTATGAGTTCCTCTTTGTGTTCTCTGACAGATCTGGTACTTTTACATCTGCCTGATTTGCGGTGCGTAGGGGATTGTAAGAAGCTAAACCCCAATAGAACTCTCCAAATGTATTACTTTATTTTTATCAGGCTGCATATACAGTAATATACTGCTTATTCGTTTTGTTTTTTTATCAGGCTTCGACAAGGGTTAAATACCCTGTACTGCCTCTTGTAGTTCAAGATGCCCCACTGAACACTGCTCTATTTAGCATTACTGACCCATCCCCGATCAGCTCTGTTGTTTAGAGCACAATGTTCAGGGGAGTGTGTTGGAGTTGTTGGCTGCTGCTTATGTTTGAGAGTGCACTCTGACTCTTGTGATGCCAGCACAGAGCTTTTTAACTTGCTGCATCGGTTATTAGTTTAAGAATAAAAAAAAAGATTATTATTATTAGTAGTAGTTTTACTATTATTTATGCAGCTCTAATAAATTCGGAAATTAGAAGGTTTATTTAGACTTTAAAATAAACATTTTATGTAATTGAAAAATACAATAAATGGTTTTTAGATGAATACATAAGTGGACTAAAGCTTGGTTTTGCCTTTGTGTGGAATCCTGTAGTAATAACAATGAGAATTCTGCCACAACTGGAAAGCATTTAATAGGCTACTGCTTTGTTACAGCTCACTAGTCATCACCATGTTTGTTTAGTCACAAGAGGCACTTGCTCAGTTGTGGTGTACATTATTTTTTTATTAAATATACGTATTTAATTAAAGTATGTTTTCTTACGGTTTACCCTTTCACCCCTTAGTAGTAATTAGCCATTACATATTCATTTTCCATTAGCTTACTTATTTTGATTCATTCAGCCTAGCAGATTTACCTTAACTTTATACATATTTCATTCATTACTGCGTGTCTTCATTCATTTATTTGTTAATATTTAAAATCTATCGGTAAGCTTTTGAGAAAGACTTCCTTTTGTAAACAATAAAAAGGTAAAAAAGCTTGCAGTCTAACATAAAACCGTGCATCTCTTGTCATCCTTCCATCATGAATGAGCGCTTCTTCTCCCCTTCAGCCACTAGATGGTGGTGTGCATATACTAAATATATGATCAGCCCCACCAATAGGAGAAGACATAGTAACAGAGATGCTAAGGATGACAGAGTTGACATAACTCTTTGGAAACCAAATGTAGTTGTGCTGGTGATCTGCAAATTTAGGGCTTGGAAAGAACTCCACAGGTGCAGAAATTCAGTACATTATATGTGCATATAGTGTAATATTGTCTAAATGAAGAACCTCATGGTAAAGAGAAGGAGAAGTCCTTTTAGCCTCCAGACAAGGCCAATGATGCTGCAGATGACTTCGGACGTGCTGGCAATTCAGTTTTCATTTAATTCTGGGACTGATTTAAATCGGTTTACCAAAGTTCTAATACCCTTTGTAGGATTATGGGAAGAGATGGCAGAGATCAGGTGGGTCACATGACATACATATCTCACTGCTGACACTATTTGACTTTCCGTTCCGTCGGTCTCCTTTTCTCGTCTTTCCCTGATTTTCATCCCGTCACTTAGACTGGCCTATCAGGCAGTAAGTGATTGACTACTTAGATATGGAGGAAAAACTTTATCCAATGAGACTATGTGTAGTCTCATTGGGAGTAATTTTATTGCCACTCTCAAGTCGTGATCAAGTGAGAACTTTTATTTTTGTGAAGCATTGAATGCTTTTTATGATCCATAACAGTGTCTATTACATCTGCGTTAGACATACAGTAATTGAATGTTTCCTAGTAGATTACCAGTGTAATGGAAGCTGCTCTTCTAGATAATTGTCTCTAATTTTAATTAACAGAAATAATTATCTGTGTCATTGAGAGATTTGCAGCGGGATACATGTTTGTACGTGATCCATAGATAAATTGTGGTTTGTGTCCTATTTTTGTGGCCCATTCCATCAACAAAAATGTTCTTGCCAATGGTTAGAGGTTTAATTTTATTTTTTTCAGCATAACTGAGAAGCGGTTAAATACATTTTCAATCCTTGAGTTGGCAGTAGAGATGCTGAACAATGTGCACCTTTTCCTTGCCAACATATGGCCATAAGAAGCCCCCAACCTTTCATTATGGAATTGTTTATATGGGATCCTGCATTAAGAAATATCATGCATTGAAGTGCATGCATGTATGCAGGACTTGTCTGTAAGGAGGGTGAAGAAGATTAGCAGCACGCAGATACAAACGAGGATGAAAAAAGGTTAAAACAGTATATTCTAAAATAAAGACAAGTGTCACATATTTAAAACTGAAGTTTAATCTGCTTATATTTTTCCTTCCCTGTTTTCTCCTTTTCCCCCTCTTTAATATGCTAATTATATTTTTGAAAACCTTTCTGTTTTTATTACTTATTTTAGACCCAGTGACATCATCACTGAGCCTCTACTTTTCTATGCAATGATGAGAGGGATCGGCAGGGAGCTGTACAGAGGTTCCTAATTAACATCACAACCTGCCTAAGTACTCCTCTCACAAGCCATCAGCCCTGATGTAGGCAGTGGGCTGGATCTTGGGAGGAGTTATGCAAATATTAAAGGAGAACTATGAGGTGAGTGATTTCCACTCATCCTCATAGTTAGAGCCGACGTGTGACAATGAAACTGCCACATGTCAACTCTATAGATCGGTGAGTGAACACATACCGTCGTTCACTCACTTCCCGATCATCTTCCTGCAGAGAGTGATGACTGTCACCGCTCCTTGCAAGGATCACCCTCCTCTCTCCGATCCCCCAGCGCTGACTGGAGGAACGGACGGGGGAGGGGGCAGGCACAGCTGTCTCTTCCTCTAGATAGGCAGAGCCTGCTGTCAATCAGCCAGCTGGGTGGATCTTGACAGTGTTATTGGGATCTGTTCCGGCCGCGGCGCTTTCAGTATATTGCGGGCAACAGCCCGCTATATACTGAGCTTTGGGTCAGGGGAGGTGGCTAGTATATGTCCTCCCGTGACCCTAAAGAGAACTATGGGATAAAAAGGTTACCCTATAGTTCCCTTTTAAAATCCCTTGATGGGTTGAAGTCAGTCTGGAGGAGAGGGCATTCCTAGGCAGGTTGCAGTTGCATTCAGACGACCCTAGGTAACCTCAAATGTGATGCTGACCTACATAATTAAAAGACATGAAAGAAAGGGATGGGCCAAGGACAGTCAGGCTGGGTAAGAAAAGGCTAGATGATGCTGGACATCCTCCAGCCAGGAAATGAAGTGGGCTGCATGTCAATTGCTGTAGCTTCCAATGTACACTGAGAAGTTCACAGTCTGCGGTGAAACCTGTAAGCTGTTTCAGTTTAGAGGAGCCTGTACAACTCTGCAAGACTGTTCATCATCGAGAGTTCATCTTTAAAACCCAGTGCTTTAGCAAACAATGTTATCCTGTTAAAATTTATATCTACGTTGAGGTCTGACCCACCTATACGCAGGGGCTCCATCTGACCAATACAGCACTGTATAATGGTTTATAAGGAGCGTTGGTTGTTGGAAACCTCTCACCTCTGATGAAGCCAATGCAAAGGTTTTTTGGAGTTCCCCCTTATGCGTTCTATTCTTGAACAGAGAAACGATCCTTAAACGTAAAACTCCACTACATTAGGCGATTTCCAGGTGATGGACCAAATTCTGCGGTGCACATTCTAGTTGCTGGACCGTACTCTGATTGTATGATCTCTGATTGGGCTGCTGTCAGCCATGACAACCTTGAGCTTTCTGCATTTTGGACCAGATTGAATAAAGTGAAATCATGTAGACTGCAAGGTGTGTTTTTATTATGCTCTCTTTAGAGGAGAACTGTTAATTAACACAAACATGAGCGAGGAGGTTTCAGAGCTGCTTAAATGAGTTTTAATTCTTTCTTCACTCCTTGGATGGTTTCCAGCAACTCGGCAATATCTGACAATGTCACTAGACACTCCTCATAGATTTTAAACAGAGCGGTTGCTAACCATACGTGATGTTGAAGAGTTCTCCAATTATGAATCTGTAAACGGCTGCTTTAAGAAATTACTGCCTAGTTCTTGATTTCAATTAAGCTTGAAATCCAGGCATACAGCTCACTACACATTTGAAATGCTCATGAAGTAGGTATCTGCCAAAGGATTTATAATTCTGTTCAGCCTCTTTCATGACTTGTGTACCTCTGCCAGGCAGTGCAGCCAGGAGAATGAAACCGCTTTTTCTGTTAAGGAATACAGATGTGTCAATCCCTTGCCTAACAAATGGGCAATAAAAGATTAGCAGTTCACTAATCATCAAGTTCTCCCCTTTCAGCATGTTCCGGTCAGCACATGTGCATATAGCTATCCTTGATTGGCTACCCCTTCCTTTCCTAAACTAAATACTACAAGGCATGGTACTGACAAAGGTTGATTTTAAGACATATTTAGGTACTTATGAAACCAGTACATAAAATAAATTAGGGGAAATTTATCAAAACTGGAGCAGACATAATCTGGCGCAGTTGTGCATGGTAACCAATCGTCTTCGAACGTCAGTTTGTTCAGTTAGGCTTTAAAAATGTAAGATTGAAGCTGATTGGCTGCCACACACACAGCTGCTCCAGATTTCCTCTGCTCCAGTTTTGATAAATGCCCCTTACAGTGTTTAAAGCACAACTAAACCCAAAACAAAAATGTAATTTCTTTACCATCCATTGAGGAATTCAGGAATGATGGAAATTACAAAACCGTCTGGCTATACTGCCGCCTTGAGGAGGTTTAGAGTACTGGCAAAAAAATTAAGCCAGCCTCCCATATAACCCCGCCTCTAAATGTCAGACTTTTTGTTTTTTGCTAGTGTTATAGAAGGTTAGTACCTTTCAATTTTTCCCATTTATAAGTGTTTCTTTTCCCCTCTCTCCATTTTTATTTTACCGTGTGAGGTGTATCTATGTATGCTCACATACATGGATACCTCTTTAGAAGAACCCTTCAGTTATATCCTTTCTCCTTTCCTCTCTCGTAAATCAAGCGTTAGGAGTGCTCATCTTAAAGTCCATTTCCACCTTTTTAAATGATTAGCATTTATTGTAGTAATGTAGAGGTGCAGCGATGATGTATATGCGTGCACATTTTCATGACTGACATTGCTGGCTTCATTTTTTTATATAAAGTTTTTATTGAATATGAAGAGGAAAGCTAACAAAAAAATGTAGTATTCTGTGTTCATGTACAGCAACTGCATATGCCTGCTTCATGTACACTCGTTGCTTTATGTACACTATTTGTACTTTGCTGGCATATGTTTTTTAAAAATACCTCTGCAAAGGTGGATATGGACTTTAAGTCTCCAGCAGTTCACTGGTTGGTGTTTTCTCTGGACATGTTATGTCCTGTCACTGAAGTCAAGGGGTTGGGTATGCTAGGCTTAAAGTGTAGTTACACTTTTGTAGTCAAATTTTAGAAAACTTCACTATATGTTTGTGTTCCTATTCTCACATCGTACCTAAAAATAATTTTTTAATTAATGTCTTAAGGTGGCCATACACCAGCCAATTATCGCATGATAATCACGGGAGATCCCGTTTGTGGCGTGCTCGTAAAACAAATGCCGAACGGACCGGTGTGCGCAGGCGCACACTGCCCGCTCAGCATTAAAGTCATCGGAAACACCCTCCCCTCAGCGGGGCGGGCTTGCGATGATCGCAAGTACGATCTGCCTGTCCAAGATGGGCAGATCGTACAAGCTTTTAATTACCTTACAACCCTCGCAAGATTAAAGTCGTGCGATGGTTGTAAAGTGTATGGCCAGCTTTAGACTTGAGATGTTTCTTTGGTGGAGACCTTTGTGCAGATTCCAAGCTACTCTGAGCAGTTTGAAAGTGAAGGTAGATGAAGAACCTGAAGGGCAACTGAACTTCCTCTCATTAAATATATGTAAAAAATAGATCACGACAATTGGACTTGCTACATTTTTCTTTTGCTGGTCATCCGAGTAGCTTTCTTCAGTATTTTTGAATTCATTAATTCTGAATTGAGAAAGCTAGTAGAATGACCAGCGAAACATCTTCAAGAAAAATACAGCAAGTCCAGTTGCCTTGATTTACTTTTTACAGATGTACTATGACCTGGATGAATGAGAACCTTCACAGACATTCCTCTCATTAACATGCAATGCTTCTAAAGCTGGCCATACATTGGTAGATTTTCATAATGTTAATACGAAAAATCTCATCAGAGGATTCTTTAATGCTATCAGAGACCTGACAAATGCTGTTTAAAATATAGTCTTGATTTTAACAATCACTTTTGAAAGGAATTGAATTTGACCCCGAAAACCGTATTTACCGTTAGAATTTTGTTCGTTTGAGAAAAGTTTTCCATCCTGTTTCTTTGATTTTTTTTTTTTTATTTCGAACCCACCGAGAAGCAGATTGAAAAACCTGCTTAATCTGGCTAGAATATAGTATTCAAAATCCTTAGGTTACTTTACCTATGCTTTCTGACTTTAGCACAGAGACAGTGCTTTCTGGATTGAATTAGTTCAATGACCGTTGCCTGGCAATGCTCTTTAAAATGATGGAAATAAGTCTCAGACCTGTAATAATTGCTTCTGGAGAAACCAGAAAACCGCACAATATTATTAAATGCATATAACTGAATCCCACGCTCATATTGCTTCCCAGCACGGGGCCGGCAGGGATGTATGAAACCTCTCATCCCTTCTGCTGCATCCCTGCTGAGATGCTGCGACAACAAAGGATTAAACAATAATTTTCCGTTTACCACTTCCAAATCTTAATTTCTCACCCTAGATGCCAATTTTACGCCGCGGTTTTCATATCTGGATTACATTTTTTTTATATCTAAATACATATTTTAAATACTGTTGTGCAGATTTAAGTGGGTTGAATGTTATCATGATGCTCCATGCAAGAGGAATATTTTGTAGATGTTTTTAAGTGGATATAATGCTTTTATTTTTATTCTATAATGTTTATAGCGATATGAAAACAATCATTGTTGTCTATGGTGCATCCTTAGGGCTGACCTGTTTTGACAGTTAACCTAAAATATAAGGTAGAAAGTTTAATAAATGTGTTATAAACACATTCCTTCTGTCTAAAATGGGGGATAGTAATAAGGCTTCAACTAATGATTATTTTGATCGATTAGTTGGCTGATTATTTTTTCGATCGGATAAAAAAAAAAAATACCATTCTTAAATTAAAATAAAATACACAAATGCAGTGTTACAGAGTTAGTTTCCTTCAGAACAAAACTGCATGCACAATTTTTTTGCAATCACACTACTGCAACGCACGGCATTGCGGTACCGCGCATTCTAGTGAGGGTGATCACACTGTACAAATGTAATATTGTTTCCCCATAAAGAGATCCCAATACAGGACAACCAATACCAAAATGACTATTAAATAGCTTTATTATCCTAATTCATCAACCACATGAATATGAAAAACGACAGACATGTAAAACACTAAAATCTATCCCTTCTACCCTAACCACGGCCTCATGTATAGTGTGTGTGTGTATGTACGTACACACACACACACGTACACACACGTACACACACGTACACACACGTACACACACACACACACACACGTACACACACACGTACACACACACGCACACACACACGTCCACACACACGCACACGTGTCAGGCGTACCTGCACAACGATGATTGCCCCAAACGTTACATATGCCATGAACGTTGGATTGAGCGCAATCATTCTTGGTCCCTCTTTCCCTGGTAACTCTAAACACACACACACACTATATTGGGATCTCTTTATGGGGAAACATTATTACATTTGAGATTTAAATAGTAAGAGACCCGTATAGGTTTACAAATTATATGAATATTTATATAGCTGTCCCCTCTCCCCATTTTAAATTATACTACAGAAAATATATTTCCTTTTACCTTTTTGATATATTTAGTTTTGATGTACACTTTAAAGTAGGGATGCACTGATACCGGTATTTCGGTATCGAGTACCGATATTTTTTTTTGGTACTCGCCAATGCCGATTACCAAAAGTCCCATTCAGGAAGCCAGGCGGCGTGTAATGATTCGCCACCTGGCTTCCTGATTAGCCAGGAAGCCGGGCAGCATGTAAAGATTTGCCACCTGGCTTTTCGATTAGCAGGGAAGCCGTCCCAATGCTTCTCGTCACTAGGTGACGAGAATGCATGTAGCCGGCTTTCTGGCCAATCAGGAAGCCGTGCGATGTGTAATGAGGTCAAATTCATATCTGTTGCTTAGTGAGGCCACACATGGCATTAATGGACAAATAATGAAGCTTGAGAGGGCTGGGGCCTGTGTCTTACAATCTACAGATTGTTTTCCTCTACTGTTTCTGTAATTACCTCAATTTCCTCAATATGCTCAATTTTAATTGTCTTGGTATGTGACAGGTTTACTTTACCTTTTTATGTAGATATAAAACAATTCTCATAGGTTTGAATGTTATAGAAGTCAAAAAGGCTCCCCCTGGAAATGTGTATACATTTACAGGTATATGTATTGGAAGAAATATTTTGTGGATTAATATGGGTTGTCAAAGATAACCAATCCTATGTTTGTATCCTATTTTATTCCTATAGGGGCTGAGGGATTGGGGTTCAGCATCACTTCAAGAGATGTCCCTCTTGGGGGTTCAGCACCAATTTATGTGAAGAACATTCTCCCCAGAGGAGCAGCTATCCAAGATGGCAGAATGAAAGCTGGAGACAGACTGCTAGAGGTACTGTGGCTGCTTTAACTGTAATAAACAATTCATTTTCATTAAGTTTACCTGTTTTTAGAAAAACTAAAGTGGGACCTCATTTTTTTTATTTTTAAGTTTGAATAAGGTTAGGAAGAGTTATCACATTTTTCTTGCTGGTTCCCTGTTATCACTGGGGCATTAGGCCTGGTTCACACCTGGGCGTTTTACAGCGCGTTCCTATGCGCTGTAAAACGCTCAACATGTGAAAACCAATAATTGCCTATGGGCATGGTTCCCACCTGGGCGTTTTACAATGCGTTGGAACGCGCTGTAAAACACCCTACACCCAAAGAAGTACAGGAGCTTCTTTGGGGCGTATTTGTCGTGCATATCCATCAGGATACAGCCGGATAGCCCTCGGAAACGCGCGTTTCTTTTACCGCAGATCGTGGTAGAAACGCGCGGCAAACGCACATATTCTGTACGCCCGGGTGTGAACCCAGCCTTAGAGTTACATACAGCAATAAAACCCAACAGAAGTTCTAAGCTTTCTCAGTGCTGTTCAAAAACAATTGTCTGGAGTTCCATTGTCCATAAGTAACAGATGTGGTGATAGAGAGAGCTGGGCTTCACTTATGTTTTTGAGAATGTATCATACATTAGGTGAGGCTTAACGGCCTTCCAAAATACCCACAAGCGTTCATAAATAGTGAAAAAGGTTAGTCCCTGCCTTTCCTACCCAAATCCAGGCAGCGTTTGACTTTCTTTAACACAAGTGCTGTTAAAAAGCATCACAGTCAAACAGTTGGTATAGGTTGAAACTGTTACTTGTTATAGCATTTGTAATACTGTTTATGCAGAGAGCACAGCCAGGCTCTGCACTTCATGAGACCTTCCTGCAGGCTGTATTGCAGATAAGCAATACAGCCTGATCTAAGACATGCCCAAGCCTATAGCAGGATATTGAAGAAGCAGAGGTACCCTTATGAGGTCATCACTCTGCTTTTCTTTTTATCAGCCTGCTGTTTGTCTGATTGGCTGATACTACTGGCTTCCCTCTTCCAGTGTGATTGCTGATGTGCAGGGCTGATATCTAGAATTGTCAGGTACTTTTGCCAGCTGTTTTTTTTTCCATTTTAAATTAAGCCCCAATGAAATTCAATAGTGTTCAGTGTTTAGCTTTATGCCACTTGACCATAGTATTCTTTCTGTGCTTGTATGGTCTTTTTTTCTGGATTGACAATAGTATTCTTCATGTGCTTGTATGGCCTTCCTCTGGATTGAACATAGTATTCTTCCTGTGCTTGTATGGACTTCCTCTGGATTGACCACAGTATTCTTCCTGTGCTTGTATGGGCTTCCTCTAGGTTGCCCATAGTATTCTTCCTGTGCTTGTATGGGCTTCCTCTAGGTTGCCCATAGTATTCTTCCTGTGCTTGTAATGGGCTTCCTCTAGGTTGACCATAGTATTCTTCCTGTGCTTGTAATGAGCTTCCTCTAGGTTGACCATAGTATTCTTCCTGTGCTTGTATGGGCTTCCTCTAGGTTGACCACAGTATTCTTCCTGTGCTTGTATGGGCTTCCTCTGGATTGACCACAGTATTCATCCTGTGCTTGTATAGGCTTCCTCTGGATTGACCACAGTATTCTTCCTGTGCTTGTATGGGCTTCCTCTGGATTGACAGTATTTTTCCTGTGCTTGTATGGGCTTCCTCTAGGTTGACCACACTATTCTTCCTGTGCTTGTATGGGCTTCCTCTGGATTGACCATAGTATTCTTCCTGTGCTTGTATGGGCTTCCTCTGGATTGATAGTATTCTTCCTGTGCTTGTATGGGCTTCCTCTAGGTTGACCATAGTATTCTTCCTGTCCTTGTATGGGCTTCTTCTGGATTCTTCAGTTTTTTTTCCCACAATTCCAAAAAATACAGCCGGACTGATTGGCTTCTACCCAACTTAGTGTGTGATTGTGGTAAGGAAATTAGATTGCAAACTCCTTGGGGGCAGCCACTCTAAAGTGCCTACATAAATAAAATAGATATTTGCATACAAGGGAAAATAACCTTCCTGTATAAGCAGTCAACCACAAGGCTATGAAGAATGCACTGTGTTCCTGTACTGAGTTTCAGCACTCCACAATAAATCATACGATGTTGTTGTACAAATCTATTCATTACCCACTGCTGCCAGCTCTCGGAGGAGAATGATTTTAGCAGAAAGCCCCACAGTAAGAGTCTGCATTTCTTCGCCACCACGTTGTTTGCTTAGTAATTTACCACAGTCTTCCCTTTTGTATGTTTTTTTAATTCTCTCTTTACCACATATATTTTCAGCCAGGTATATTAGTGTATAATGGTTTTTCTGTTTCTGTATTGTTAAATAATATAGTGTAGGTATGTTTATATCCAAAGATGTACTGTTAGTTTTACTATAAGATATCACCTCACCGCTCTCCTCTCCCTATCTAAGCTTATTGTCACATCAGAAACGGCAGTGTAGTGTCTGAACACTGGGAATAGAAAATCGAAGACTACCTGTCCTGACCTCACACTGCAGCTGCCCGCAGAACACGTGTTTAGCGAATGTGCTGCAGCTGTGAAATGTAATTAGGACCGCTATTCACGGTGGCCTGTGGGATCTCAGGAATACTCTAAAATAAGGATTGCCAGGGGATTTTTATTAAAGGCCACATTTAAAAGAAAATTCCATGGGTCGAGGAAGTGAGCAATCATTCTAAACATTAAAAACCACACTGATATTTTCATAATAAGCCCTGATTTAGGCCACAGGAAGCTGTGCATATGAACAAGGTTACGTGGGAAGCAAGGTGACCTAATAGTGTAGTTGCTTAATAGACTTTAAGTGGTCTGTGATGTATAATACGTTTTTACATACCTCAACAATTATGCTATTGGTAACTCGCTGGAGGAGTTAATGGCTCCATCACAGCTAATTGTAGCTAAATTGGCCAGCTTTGGAAGAACTTTTTAGATTGTGCCATTTGCAAGATTAATGTCTGCTCTTTTGTGGTCCTGTTACTTAATATTACAATTGTTTTTAGGACTACGCAAACTGAGTTGCCATATAAATACATAAATATTTAAAATCCATATAGCTTATTCTAGAGTATCTTGCAGAGGGCATGGGACATTCCAGCATCTTTCATGGATGGAACAGTATCTTCGTGCGGACAAGTGTTGTGCTGCCATTTCCATAGGCTGTCTGTGGAGCCGCTTGGTGCCTGTGAAGCCTCCTGGGGTGTATCTACTGCGCATGCTTCCACCATTTTCTTTCTCTTGGTGCATACTGATCTAGCCATTCACTGCTGCTTCAGCTCATTGCAATGGATCACTGCTCCTGCCTACATTACTCTGACACTAGGCACCCTGCAGCCTCCACAGCAGTAAGTGCTGGGGTTCCCTCTCACGCAATCGGGATCATAGATGTGGAGAGGTATGGATGGCAGAATGACGGCGTTTTTTTTAGGAGGGTTCTGTCCCCTCTGAGAAAACTTTTTGTCAGCCCTATGTTTTGCTCTTTATCCCTTTTGCCTCCTGCCTCGGCGTCCTCTTCAGCACCCTCTTCCTCTCAGCTGTTTAGAGTGGAGTTTACTTTAGTAATTGCGGAATTTATGGGAAAATGCCCTAAAGTATATTTTCACGTTTGCAGCCAAATTGGGCTAACACCTGTTTTATATTTGTTACATGTTTCTCATTCACATAGCATAACTTAACCTCTTGCCGTCCGCCCGTAGTAGAAAAACGGACGGACGGCAAATGTTGTTTTTTTAAATTGCTGCTTGCACAATATATGCTTTATCCTGAAATACATGTATTTTCTCTGCAATGCAAGGGGGACTGTGCAGGTTAATGTAACCTAATTAGCCCTGTCTCTACTGTGCTGTGAGATCTCATTATCAGTTGTAAACTAGGTGGAGAATGGACCCTTCACCTGGAGGTGTTTCAGAACCTTTGTTTTAGGAGGGCAAAGTCAGACTTGGATCTTCTGGCATCCGGGTTTTAAAACAAACTAGACACATTTTTGCTGGGACCATCACAGTGAATGACTTGGTGACTCTGTGGAGATCAGTTCAACTTTATCTGTGCCTTTCCTCCTCCTCTTCACAGGATTGAGACATAGGGTGTTCCGGTAATCCTCCTGCTCCCAACTGGCCAAGAAGACAGTGATGCATCTACTTGGTCAAACTCCTGGCAGACTCTCCATGGGAACTTCCAGGTCATCCAGCCTCCTGTCCCAAGGACTAGTATTCCACCCTGTTTCTCGGTCACTGGCTTTATGACCTGGCTGTTGAAACCCAGGTTCTGATAGACAGAGGCCTTTCAGGCACTGAAATCCCTTTCCTTCTGAAAGCTAGAAAGTTGACTTCCCGCAAGGTCTACCATCGCACCTGTAAGGATTATCTTGCTTGGTGCGAACATGTCCCTATTTCAAACTTCCAAAATAAAACTTCTGCCAAAGAGCAGGTGCTACAAAATGTCTGCTGTTAAGAGCTTAACTCCCCTTACTGGCTTGGCCATAACCACTCAACATTTGTAGGCTTTTTTCAGGCTCTTCTATTGAAGTCTATGGATCCAAAAACATAATATTCTGCCCCCCCAAAAAGCTCATGCACGTTTTTGGGCTGCAAGCAACACAATGCTGAGGTGTGAACATGCACCATTGAACATTATGGGTCTCTTTGTATTGAGTTTTGTAGTGCTTCGGGAAATGTGCAACAAAACGCTCAGGCACGAACGGGGGCTTACTGTATATTCATGGGCATAGGAAGCTCTGTAGATGCAATACACTCCAAGATCCATTTACGTTTCAGTGTAGGTTCCTGCATACATACGTTTAATCTGAGTTATAATGTCTGCCTGCAAACTGCAATTATTTGTGTTTTCTGTCCCCATCCATGTGTGTCAAGCATTGGTGGTTTATGCATTTAGCCATCATTCACACTAGTGTAGCGTATGAACACACTTGTGGTGCTATACATTGTTGAAGGCACCCCAAATGCACCAAGCAAAACATGCCTTTTTAATGCAAAAAACTCTGCAATAGATACTCCAAGCTCAAAAAGATGCTCCAGCTTTTTTGCTGCTCATAGGGTTGAAATTAGTGGGCAGCCCTATCCGTGAAGCAAAACAAACACTCATAAATGTAGCGTGCTTTGTAAGTGTGAATGGGTGCACATTGAGCTCAAGGAGCTTTTGATACTTATGAACATAAAACCTTCAATGATTTTGTATTACATTATGATAGAATGGTTGGTTTTGATTTCAAGAACAATTTTCAGTCTGTTAAGCAATTGGACAAATGAAGTGTCTCTGTTGCTTTGTCAGGTGAACGGTGTGGATCTAACTGGAAAAACACAGGAAGAAGTTGTATCATTATTAAGAAGTACCAAAATGGGAGGTGCAGTTAATCTCTTAATCCTCAGACAAGAAGAGGGTTTCCACCCCAGGGAGCTGGTGAGTGTATTCATACATTTCTACTGATTGCACAATTTTACTGCAGAAAAATGTAATCATATCACTGACAATGAAATGTAAAACCTGTATATATTTTTTTTTTTACCTTCATGTAGTACTAAAAACAAAAAACAAAAAAACTCACTGTGACTCATTCTTCATACCTCTTAAACTTTAATGAAAATGATGTCTCAGATTGCCCACAAAATGCCTGGCTTTGGACAATTTGAGTGATTACACCAGTGCGCTTGATTGAAGGGGCTATTATCATTCCAAAAATCATGGAGTACTAGGGAACCTCCTTTGTTCGCTACTGTTTTATGACTGATGATGAGTTAAGGATTGTGTATAATTTTAGCAATGCCAGAGGTGTTCAGAATGGAAAAAAATCCTTTTAATGCAACAGTCTTCAAATGTCAGACCGGTAACACTTTTATATTTAGACAGCAAGGGATTGTTCAGATTTATAAATCAGAGAACCTAATTGTTGTCTGTGATTTGCTTGTTCCAATTTTCAAATGAAGATCACAGTCGGTCCATTGGCAACCATTATCCTGCCTTTGTCTTGGGGTGGCCATGGATAGAAGGGGTATACTGAGATTGCGGTATACTGAGACGCTGAAGCGGATCCCGACAATTATGTCTGGATCCGCCCAGCTGCGTGAGTGACAGCTGGCTCTGCCTATCTAGAGGCACAGCCAGCTGTACCCGCCCTCTCCCCCGTTCGATCCGCCAGTCAGCGCTGGTGGATCGGAGCGTAGAGGGGGGAATCCAGCCCCTCCCCTGTCACGGCAGAAGGCTGTGACAGGATCGATAGGTGAGCGAACGCCGGTATGTGTTCGCTCACCTCCCGATCTACTGAGCCGACCTGTGACAGTCTCATTGTCACAGGTCGGCTAGAACTATGAGGTGAGTGAAAAGCACTCACCTCATAGTTCTCCTTTTAACCCTTGCCCTGAGTTCTGCTTTAAAGCTAGTAGTTGCTCTCCTCCCTTTTCTCAGTCGCTCTTCTCGCAATGCCTCTTGTATGGGAATGAGTAGCCAGACAGAAGATAGAATCACAAGTAAGGTGTATGATTGCCTGTGGCGGGAGAACCTTAAAAGGCACTGAGCAACACAGACTCAGCCGTTATGTTTTTTTGACCAGAAACTTTCAGTGTGAAATATATTTTGTTTCCTCCAGAATAACAGAGAAACCATTCCGATAGTCACGTTTATCGGTTTTCTTTCAATCTGCTTTGTTTCTGCCATGGCCGCTTTGGAAGTCTTCCGCTGCAGTCCTATGATTTGTGCAAAGCCCACAATCCACGTTAGATGGAGAGCCGGCAGTTTTTATTGTGCATCAAGCAGATGATCTTTCATTCACACTACAGCTGGAGTTTTGAATGTAATTTAGCTGCACACAGTCTGTGACAACTGTATTTGACTTTGTGTCAGTGACAACTAGTCACATGGCTGGCCTCCCTTTTTTTGCTGTGTGCTGGCATGAGTGTGTGACATACCCAGATGGTGCAGCTAATCTGATCTTTTGATAAATGACTAATTTCCTTTGTTAAATATTCATGTCCCTTAGCCCAGCCTGTCTTTTGATTCATTTCTCGGTCTATCTTTTCTGAGTAGTTCAGCTGAAATAAAGCATCTATGCATACATATACAATTCTGTGTCATTTCTTCCATAACAAATGCGGTAATCTGTTCTGCATGGCTTACCAGATATAGTCTAGCATACACTGGTAGACTAGAAGTATGATGTGCTTATAGTTCTATGCTAAGTTTAGGTCATGTGATTGCATGGAGGGATCACAGACAAATGGAATTCCTGTTTTATCCTGAAAATCCTATCTATGTAACAGTTGGTGCCTCCCCCAGCTGTTTATCCCATAGAGTAAGTATGATATATAAAGGGTCTACGTCTCTCAGTGGTTGGAAGCTATACAAGGCTTAAAGTTGATGTACCAGGTTAGATATGAAATCACAAGTTGTGATATGTAAAAAGGTGAACTTTTATATAAAAGACACAAATTAATGCAAATATGTATTTATTAATATCTCCTTAAATGTATTTTAACCACTTGATGACCGGGGTGTTAAATCCCCTTCCTGTCCAGGCCATTTCTAAGTATTCAGCACTGCAGTACTTTGACTGAAATGTATTCAGTCTTGCAACGCTGTGTTGAAATTAATTTTATATAATTTTGTGGGGACAGATAGAGCTTTCTTTTGGTGGTATTTAATCACCAATGGGGGTTTTATTTTTTACAATATAACAAAAAAAGAATGGGAAATTTTGAAAAAAAAAACTGTTTTCCCTACATTATATTATGAAACATTTATTACCCAATTGTTTCGGTGAAATATAAAAGATGGGGTAATGTCAGGTAACTAGCACCAAACATGCAAAATGCAAGCGATCGGGCGGCTCTACCCCCGGAATACTTCTATTTAAACAGCCATCACTGGCTGTGTGAAATCTTAGAAATGTTCCCGCTCATGTGCACGCTGCGCATGAGTAAGAGTGGGGGAGGATGTTTGAAACTGCCCACCCGCATCTAGAAGCCTTCCGTCTGGCTATTTATCTATGCCCGCTGGAAAAGAAGCAGTTAAAGTGAATCATTTAATGTCTTTTTAAATGCAAATAGTATAAGTACCTGCATTTGACCTACTTTGAACCTCTTGCAGTATTGGGCTGGAAAATGGGGCACAAGAAGGCAGACAGATGTGCTGCAGTGCTTATGTGCTAACAAGGTACGTGCGGATAGGAGAGAACAGGGACAGAGACATGAGGTCAGTTTTCTGCTTCTGTATTCACTATCGTGTCACAGGCTGCAGGAAGAGCCAAGACCTCCTTATTTTAAACTGCTTAGCTTTTTAGCTGTTTGTCTTGAGTTCAGCTTTAACAAATTTGGCAAAACTGATTACCTTTTATACAATTATGATTTAACTTGTACATATTTCATTTATTTCAGAACACTGAGCAGAATCCGGTACCCAACGCAAGAGAACCGGTGAGAACTCTTTCAGTATATTGCCTTTACAACTCCTCCCTAAACTACTTTTGGTTATATACATTTGATGATCGATTTTGATTGTATTGACAAAACACTTTTTTTTGTATACTTATGTTGATCAGCAATGAACAACTTAAGACTTGAAGTATTCCTCTTGCTGCTCTAGAGTTGGTTGGTCATGCTGAGACTTGTACATTAGTTAAAGGGCTAAAGAACTCTCTTGATCCTGTTTCTATTGGTGTTTTTTTTGGTGTGGTGTCCCAACAAATACTCAGAAAATGCTTTAGGTTTTTAGATTGGTGGTGTTCTTGGTAAAGATTTCTTTTGTAATTAAAGTTGTTATCCACTTTAAACTTAAAATGAAGACGAACAACTCTATCTAATTGGGGCCCTGCTTAGAAATGAATTATTCTCCTCCTGCTTTTGTTGACTACCAAGAGAAAGATATGGGAGGGGCAGTTCACTACAAGTATTTTTAAGTATATTCAAAGACAAGACTTTCCTTTTTAAGTTTTGCATAGAGTAGGAAAGAGTGAAAGGCCAAAGTTGGTGAATTAAGGGCTATAGCCATGACTCGTGGGGGTGGTTGGGTGTTGGACCACAATAGAGAGGGCCACTGCTTACATACAGAACACAGTGGCGTGTCTATGCTGCATGCTGGCAGAGGCCAGACCTTTTTACTATGGCTGTAGACTACTTTACAACCTACATGATCGGTAGAACTTTGCTAACTTAACATTCTAATGCACATAGAAGCTATTGGCATGCATTGGGCTTTAACCGCTGCATAAAGCTGTTTGGAAGCACCCCTAGACATGTTCCCTGCAGTTTGAATGATGGCATAACTGAAAATGCACTCTAGTCTAGATATACATTTTAATATTCTTGTCCTCAAGTCCATCCATCCATTAAGCTTTGCTTTTTCTGAATAGATGATTTTCATTATCTGATTTCACCGGCAGGTTAAAACAGCTCCAGGCAAATATTTTTTTGTTTTGTCCTTAGAGTGGAGAATGTTTAGAGCCCCTGTCATGGTTTTTAATTTTTTTTTATTAACCCTTGCAGTGGGGCTACCCCCACATTGCAAGGGTTAAGTGCTCATTTGTGTCTAGGTTAAAAAAAAAGTTATAGTTACCTGAAGCTTTGAGACGGCTTCTTTATAGACAGGAATTCTCTGCCTCTCCCCCTCCTCGGCCTCTCCCCCTCCTCTGCAGTGGTCTAAGGTCCCATACATCATCAACATCTATATACCTCTGGTATAAACGTGAGGACGCAGAGGAAGATTCCGATGCTCCTGCTGCTGTGGAGGGGCCAGGCTGGAGGGAGCGATGTGACAGCTGGCCGGCTCAGAGCTTCGGATGAGTATATATTTGGTATTTTTGTTCCTAAACACAAAGGAGCACTTAACCCTTGCAGTGTTGGGGTAACCCCACTGCAAGAGTTAATAAAACATTTTCCTGGAGATCTTTTTTAAACTTTCCTAGCTGGGGGCACTGGTCGTAGAGCCAAGAAGAGACTGGAAATCCTTTCAGTTGGGACCCAGAAAGTAACCAACACCTGACATAGTTTGTAAACCTTCCCTGCTCTCTCCAAACTTAAAAAATGTCAGGGATTGCACTTCAAACAAACATTGTTAATATAAAATTCCTTGTAGAGAGGAAGCTGTTTTCAGGGAGAGTATGCTGTGCCATATATTAATGCGTAAATGGGCTTTTATGCTTTAAAGTAACATCCATGTAGCATTTAAGGCAATATTCTGGTGACCACACAGGGAAAACCTATTAGAAATGCTACAGCTGTCAGCGTTTTTTGTCAGGTTAAAAGATTTCTGCATTTCTTTTTTGTCATGTCTCTGATCCTATGTTTTGCCTTTTGCTATCTATTTTGGAATGATATGCATAAGAACTGTCTGTTACTGTAGTTATTTGGACAGTGTGCAATTTTGATTATCGAGACAGCATAATTGTCACACTAGCAGAATAAGGGGAACACACCGACTTTCCTGACCACTCATCATGCAGAGATGTTTTCTCTGTAAATTTAAACTTGATTCCACATAAGGAAACACAGGAGGGCTGAACAAATGGGAAAACATTTTTTTAAAGGATTGTTAAAGATTCCCTTTAATAGGAATGGGGTAGCTGCAGTTATTTTCAACTTTTAAAGTAAATAATATACATTATCAAGTGTAACTCCCTGATGGTTTCTGTATGTCCAGAAGCCGCCAGAGAGGAAGTCATTTCTTGGGAGGGTTAAAATGAAGGAGATGAACAATTGTCTGTCTGTAAACTTTTTCCGGATCAGCGGGAGGCTCGGCTTGCGCACTTTTAATTAGCTTGTACTTTCGTTTAAAAATATACAGTCTATTGATGTGCCATCCGCATGTGTCGCTATTGTTGGAGGTCTATTCAGGATGTTGACACTGCTCTGTCTGCACAGCAGGTCAGAACAGCGCGATTGGGATGCTGCTCGGTATAAATATTAAAGAAAATGCCGACTGACTTGTCTTAAGACAGCCGAATAATAAGACATATGGAACTGGTTATTTGATTCCTTTTCTCATAGCTTTGATTTTCACACAAGATGAAAATCACATGCCATATAAATCTGATTTCTTTGAAAGTGCCCATAGAGGCTCACCTGATTCAAGTGTACGGTGAGATTGAACTCAGACACTTCTTTGAAGTTGTGGGCAGAGTTTTACAGCTGTAAAGGCAAAAGTTTACAATTTTCAGAGTTTAAAAAAAAAAATGTGTGTATGTAACCACTTCACTGCAAGTCTCACTTTTAAAGGTACACTCCAGCTGAAATTTAGCCTTGAAATGCATACAGTGGGCACAGCCAAACTGCTAGGGACTTCAGGATTTGATGCAGACATTGCTTAGAGCAAACACTCTCCCCACTCCCTTTTGCATGTAATTGGGGGTTCCCAGTACACACCTACTTGTGACACTGGAACCTTTACCACCACTTCTGCTTACAATGTTTTTGTTCTTCTGCAATAGTTTTCATTGAGTTGGCAGGTTTTGACATTGAGTATTCACATTGTTTTTTCTAGAAGTACAATAGACATATGGAGAAAAGGCTGTGCATCCCCTATATACTGCTGATCACTAGTTTGATGAAAAGATAAAGCTCTGCACAAGCAGTGGCCAGTGGAGGAGGTCCCTAGCTAATCTAAGTTTATTAGTGTGGGTTATATATGGGGTAGGGAGTATACCGGTGGGTTGTTGATCCTAGCTTAGTTAAAATAACCCTTTTGCCTAGAATAGCTCTACTGGTGTTGTTTGAGAGGAAAGCATGTATATATGTGATGCATACATGGGGGGGGGGGGTTCCTCACTGTAGGCTATTAAGTGATAAAGCAAAACTCAAGGAAACCGGCTAAATACAAAACTTGAATACTTGTTTTACCTTCCAAAAGTGTTTGTAATTTTATACAGTTTGTCCTGTGATTTTGCACACTGCACAGCCAGACAGGTGACACAGCTATGGCTAAGGAATTTCACTTTCTGTATCACCTTTCCATATCTAGACCCTTCATTTGATAGTGAATCGGCAACATCACCTCTGTCCAGTGACGAGGGGAATGGATCTATTGAGCAGTTTAGCTGACTAAAGAAAACGTTCCAAACCAGGAATTGCCAGTCTTGGTATGCTGATGCCTTAAGAGTTCCCTTCACTGGAATTAAGGGGCCAAACCCAACCCCTGAAAGACAACCCCACACCATAATCCCCCCTCCACCAAACTTTACACTTGGCCTAATGCAGTCAGGCAAGTGCCATTTCTCCTGGCAACCGCCAAACCCAGACCTGTCCATCGGATTGCCAGATAGAGAAGCACGATTCGTCACTCCAGACACACGTCTCCACTTCTCTAGAGTCCAGTGGCAGCGTGCTTTACAGCACTGCATCCAACGCTTTGCATTGCATTTGGTGATGTAAGGCTTGGATGCAGCTGCTCGGCAATGGAAACCCATTCCATGAAGCTCTCTACACAGTGTTGTTGTGCCAATATGAAGGCCATACGAAGTATGGAGGTCTGTAGCTATTTACTCTACGGACAGTTGGCGACTTCTGCACACTGTGCGCTTCAGCGTGCGCTGACCCCGCTCTGTAATTTTACTTGGCCTACCACTTCGTGGCTGAGTTTCTGTTGTTCCCAGTTGCTTCCACTTTGTTATAATACCACTAACAGGTGACCGCGGAATATTTAGTAGCAAAGAAACTTCAGGGATGGACTTATTGCACAGGTGGAAACCTACCATGATATCACTGAGCTCCTGATAGCGACCCATTCTTTCACAAATGTTTGTAGAGGCAGTCTGCATGCCTAGGTGCGTGATTTTATACACCTGTGGCCATGGAGGTGATTGGAACACCTGAATCCAGTGATTTGGAGGGGTGTCCCAATACTTTTGGCAATATAGTGTGTGTGTATAATATATGCGCCAAGCATGTTTTTACGGTTAGTCTGGAGTTTCACTTTAACTTAGTCAAAGCAGTGATTGCTGAAAATTACTGAAGTGATGGCTACATTCTGAAGAGACTTGGTGCTCCTCACAAATTCATCTGGTTAGTTTCCATAACCTACTAATTAACTGCCCCCTCTGGAAGTGGCTGAGACCTGTTTGAATGGTCTCCAGGCAAACAAGTGTTTCAATTAAAATGGAGACAAATTAAACTTTCCAGTCAGTCTTGAAAATAAAATTACTTTTGACACGTGATATTTCACAGCTGCTGCCAAATTGCATAAAACAATTCGGGCCAGATGTGATGTATTAGCAGAGATAATAGTAATAATGAATTTCAATGAATACTTGCAAATGGGGCCCAATATGAGTTAGCTGTCATGTGGAGGAAATTAACATTCTCCTCTCTTGGCAATAGTTTGACAATCAACGTGATAAGAAAGCTTTAGACAGCGAACAACATCATCATCATCCTGTTAAGTTTCTGAAAGTCATAACCTATTGACACTGTTACCTGAATTACTA